ACTCCAAATCCATCACTCCCACAATTCCACTACAACATGCTGTCTCCAAAAAAGTTTTACCCAAACATGACAATATCTACCCATATCTACTTTGTCCATTTATAGTCAGAATTAAATGAGATAATGTTTATGAAAATTTTTGAAAGGTTAAAAGTACTAAATAATGATAAAGTATAATCATTATTCCTTAGGCAAATTATAATTAGACCAAATGAGATTTTGTCCCAGATACAAATTAAGAACATTATGGTTGCTCTTCTCTTGACTTTAGATCACTTCCCGATAGGAGTTTTAACTATAACGAAAGAGAGCGGAGAGACGGAAGGAATGAGAAATTGGTATTACAATGATAATATTGGTATTATTAATTAATAGCATATTAATATTAACTAATAGTTGGTATTTACATAGCTCTTGGTTTACCAATCACTTTTTTTTTACAAATGCACAGAACGCAAAGAGCCTTTGAGACAGGTAGTATTGTCCCCCTTCTTACAGACTGAGTAATTGAAGTTCTGGGAAATTGAATGATGCCCAGGGTCACACAACTAGTGAGAGGCAGAGCTGGAATTTGAAACCAGACTTGGCTCCAAAAAGGAATATCAAATTTAGTTGATAAAGGGACCGTAGATGTCATCTAGTCCACCCTCTCCCCATTTTATAGAGGAGGAAACTGAGGCCTAGGAAAGTCAAATGATTCACCTAAGGTCACTGGGTTGTACAAAAAGTTTGAGACATAATTTCTGGGTAATTAATCCTTTTATTAATCATGTTGGCATATAATTAATTAAAGGGGTCAGTGACACTGTCAAATGCCAAAGAGGTGAGGCAACAACTCCACCTAGATAAGATAGCCTTGGTGGGGGTAAATTTTGGGGAAAGGTCAGGAATCTCCCCAGTAATTTATTATTTCATAATCATTCCTCTCAGTCACATAGGTGATAAATAGTACCTCTAGGTGCTTTAAATCCAATGCTCTTGTTACTAAATCACACTATTTATACATCTTCTATCTTCCTCAATACCCTCCATTCATTATCTCCAAAATCTACAAGTAGTGATCCTTGTCTTCCTAATACACATTAGCCTCTACATCCTTTGGCGATCAGGCATTGCTGAGTGGGAATTTCTGTCCTTTTGTATATGGACAGAAGTCGGTAGATCTATAACTAAGGCAGGGTAGTTTGGGCTTTGCCCAGACCAGGAAATTTGGAGGGCACTTTCTCCCTCCCCCACCCCCATCCATCTCTTTCCCCAGCGGCAGTGGAACTACCCACCCTAAACTGGACTTTTCCATTAGTATCTTGGCCATTCACTCTTTCTTCCCTAGGTAGACCCACTTCCAGCAGGTGAGAAACTGTGCTGTCCTGATTTGTATACTCTCCCCCAGCCGTACATAGTGCTAGGCCTGCAGTCAAGAAGACCTGCGTTCAAATCTGGCCTCAGACACTTATTAACTATGTGACCCTGGGCAAGTCACTTAACCTCTACTTGCTTCAGTTTCCTCAACTGTAAAATAGAGATAATAATAGTACCTACCTCCCAGGGTTGTTGTGAGGATCAGAAAGATAATACTGGTAACTTGCTTAGCATGGTGCCTAGCACTTAACAAATGCTTATTTCTTTCCTTCCCACCACACTAAGACTCCAGGGGAGTTTTCCTATCCCCCACCATTTGCCCCTGGGGAAAATTTTACTAGTGACAGCTGTAGAATGTAACATCCTAGAAAATAGTTTGAGTTCTTTTTAACAAAATATGCCATCTTTCATATACGAAGATGATACTAAAAAGGTCCAACTACCATTGAAAGGGAAAGTTCTCCGAGATTCTCAGTAAATTTACACAGACTCACTTTCATTCACTCAGTCTCCTTGAGGACAAGTAACACACATTGGTAGGATATAGCTAGGACCACCACGCTGACAGCATTTAACCAGCTTAGCCAATATTTTATTGCCAAAGCTGGTTAGTAAATAGGTAAGAATCTATGACCAACCTCATACTGAGCTAGGTTTTGTTTTTTTTTAATATGAGTTATGCACATCTAATATATCTATATCTATATGTAATTAAATGTTTTATATATAGCTATAGATGTAAAATATATCTATATCTATTTATCTAAATACACATCTCTCTATATACCTAATTGGGTGTGGATTTGGGGGTATAGGGAGTAAAGGAGAGGAAGTAGAGGGAAGCTGCACCGTGATAACTGAGGATGTTCTTATTGATGTGACCTATAACAGTCACATCTCTGTTTTTTATTTGCAAATTTTAGTTTGTTTTGGGTAATCTTGTGTATGGGTTACGTGAGAATATGGGCAAATCCCTAAACCTCTTGGTGCCCCAAGAAACTCTCTACATTTACTCACAGATGAGTTGCCAATCCAAATGATCAAGGTTCTTACAATGATGAAATCATAGGTCCAGACCAAGAAAAAGAGATATGGGTCATTGGGGTGAGGGGTGCAGCCCGTGGCCAAGGAACTGTGTGGCTAAGATTACTGACCTGTACAGGGAACAAATGCTATGCTTTGGTTGCAGTAACATGACATTCAGAGAATAGAGAGCTGGCCTCATAGTCAGGAAGAACTAAGTTCAAATGCTGCCTAAGACAATATGTGACCCTGGGAAAGCTATTTAATCTTTCTCAGTCTCAATTTCCTTCTCTATATGAGGAGGCCTAACTCAATGATCTCTAAGGCCCCTTCCAGCTCTCAGTCTATGATCACATAACCCAAGCTGGTCTTCTGAGCATGACCAGTTTGGCTGACATGGACCCCGCTGCATCCCCTACCACGTCCCCTATGATGTGGGTGTGGGTAGCTTCCTCAATTGGCTGCCTGTTACTTTAAAACCGGTAAGACCAAGAAGGTCACTCTCTTTTCCATCTTTTTAACCATGGGCTCCATGTTAGCCAAACTGGGCATGCTCAAAAGGCCAACCCAGGTTACAATCTTATGGCTGGCTCATAATAACTGCTTAATAAATTCTTGTTGGCTGACCAGATTCAAGTCCTGCTTCTGATATATACTGGCAATATGAACCCGAGCAAGTCATTTATTTACCTCTCTGCATTAGTAGAGGGAGTTTTCTCCCTAGGAATTCTCTAAACTAAGGAAATCATAGATCTAGTCAAAAAAAATACTATATTCAACGGGATCCTTAGCATAACACAGAAACTGGACCTGCCCTATGAGACCTTCTGCAATCTGTGGCTCAAATAGCTGCCAATAGCTTCCACAGGGGCAGTGAACACTGTCCACAGGCACTTTCTTGGGAACAGTCTACTACCCACACTTCAAACCAAAAACAAAATTTTTGAAAGAAAACCTCCAACCACAAGACATTTTGGGAGCAGCCCTACAATTTGCTTTCTTCTTCTACAGGAAACTGTGCAGCAGCCCAAATCAGGCTACTCAGGGAAAAAGGTACTGAATGAGAAGACCTGGGTCTAAATAGGTGACCTTGGACAAGATACTTCACCCCTCTGGGCCTCAGTTGCCTTGTCTGTAAGAGGTGAGGATTGGACTAAATAATCCTTAATGTCGCTTCAGTCTCTAAGAACTTATTCTGCAAGGCTCAATCCATTTTTGTTGAATGATTCATCAATGAGAAGGAAGAAACACTCTATAAAATAATGCCAACCAAATTCTTTACCAACCACCAATGATTTTTCCTCCCCTCGGGGGAAAAAAACATACCCAAGTTTTTTCTCCACTCTTTCCCTGCCTCTCAAGTTAGACAGAGTTTGGGAAATGACAAATTCTGAGGAGAGCTGTTTCTATATGGAAACACACTCTACCACTTGCTACTATGGGGACTAAGCCTTGCATTCTCTTTGCTTTCACCAGGTGAGCTGTCTGCTTTCACAGAATCAGAGAATCAGAGGTTCTTTCTCAACATAATGCTACAATCTCTTAAGATACCTCTGGAAGACATGAGCTGAAATCCTCCCTCAGATGCTGACGGAGTGTGACCCTGGGCAATTCACTTAACCTCTCTCTGCCTTATTTTCCTAATCTGTAAAATGGGGATAATACTAGTACCTACTGCCCTGGATGGTTGTGAGAATCAAATGAAAATATATATGTAAAAGGGCTTGAAAACTTTAAAAAGCCTTATACCTGCTATTATTGTTACTGCTAGCAACACATTCTCCCTAATACCCAGAGAACTTCAGTCCTCATTGCTAGCTCATTGTTATTATGAGTGGTTGATTATTACTACTTTGAGATTTTTCTCACAATACATTGCACTTGTTTGTAACTCAAATTCAGCACTTATTAAAGGAAAGCTTGCCTGTTGCCAAAGAATGGCTTTCAACGGGAGTATGCCCCAGCATTTCTGAAATGTGAAGTTATAACAAGGGAACATGGGAAGGTTATAGAGATATTTTTCCTCTTAATTAGCAGTCAAAGGTAAAAACTGGTGTAGTACTCTGATCAAAAGCAAAAGAACTCAAATCCTAACCCAAGTTTTTCTGAAGGAAAACAGGATAAGATAGCAATAAAAACCATTAAAATTGTAAAGAAAATCCCCAAAGAAAGCATAATCAATAATAATAATAAGAGAGAGCATTGCTGAAATACAATAAAATAAAAATATCTTCACATTAGTTTGTTTGGTTTGGTTTGGGTTTTTTTGTTTTGTTTTGTTTTTTGCCAAATAACTAGAAGACAGCCTTCCTAGGAGTTCAAAGATAGCGCTTTCTTTTTATATATTTTTATCAATATTCTTTCATTCAATTTCAATAAATTCCCACAAGGCAAATAGGCAGCAAGTTTACATTTTCCAGACACTGAGGCATGAAATATCAAAATGATGTGGTGAACATCAAATGGTAAATCCAGGTTGGAGGTGGGGGGGAGAAGGTTCAGGGTAGAAGAATTGTTTTCCTTCACTGCCCATCTAACATATTGTCTCTAAAGCCTACTGTCCCCTTCAGCCACTTTCTCTCTCTCATAGGTAAAGGTTTGAAGATCGAGATCCTTACCTCAGAAGTTACTGGGCACACCCCCACTCTTTTGTCACCTTAGGAGAACACCCTTGAGGGCTTAAGCCTGTCCTGGATCTCCTCTGCCCTCCTTTGTTCCAGAGAACCCTTCTTCCCTCTCTGAGTTTAAATCCCTTCTGGATAAGACCAGGATAGCCAATAGGGATGCTTGGGTGTTGCCCTTTCTTCCAGAGAGGGATTCCATTTGAGATCTAACAAGGAATTTCTTCTCTTACTCTTTATATTAACTGGAAAAAAGATGCACACTTTTCCCCATTTCTTCCTTCTGCTTTGTTTACACGGCAGCTAGAAACACTGGAGAATGTTTCCATTTAAGCAGACGCAAAGTTAAGCTATTAAAAGGATAGAATGTCTTGTGGCAGGGAAGCCAAGGCTTTGGATTTGTATGTGCTTATTTATTTGTACAGTCTCTTTCCTGTCTTGGGGGTTTCTGAGTCCTTTCTAGTGTCTCTTTAAGTTGAACTCTCAAGCATATGAGAAGTTTTTTGTGGTCAAACAGAATGGAGCAGAGGCATTTATGCTGTCCTCTTGCCATTTATAGTGTAGTTCTTTGCCATCCAAAGCGTGTAGTACATTAGAAAGAGGTTTGGATTTGGAGTTAGAGGAACTGAGTTCGAATCTTGGTTATGCAAATGACTATGTGACCCTGGGCAAGTTACATCCCTTCTCTAGCTGTTCCCTCATTTGTAAGATGAGAAACATTGGACCAGATGGCTCTAAAGTCTCTGCCACCTCTACATCTTATGATCTTTCCTCCTTGTAGGGGCTAGGAGACAAAGGCATTGTTCAAGATGATTGAAGACCACCCTATTTATTGTCTTCCTCCTAGATTCCCCTAAAGCATCACCGGCAAGGGAATATTGTAGTCGGGAACATAAAACTGCGCCCTGACACGATCCTTGCCATAATGGCCAGACTCTTGCTCCAACCCTGACAAAAATGGTAGGATCAGAAACAATAGGCCTATTGAATCTCTCTTTCCAATCCTTTTGTGTTCTATTAGCTCTTGGGACGTCAGAGAGCCGTCAACAACAGTGGGAGCTAGAGTAACAAGTCTGAAAATGTATTCTAACTCACACTATTCAAATTTACAATTATGTGAAATATAGTCATTGGTTCCAACCCAATGGAATTATGTAGTGTGAGTTCAAAGAATGCAACCACTTGGTGGGATTTATGATTCATAGCAATCAGGACCTAGCTATATTAGGGGTGACTGTTAGTTAACAGGTCCCTTCCATTGATAATAAGTGTAGGCAGAGGGAAGAAGGGAGGAGGAATTAAATTAGAGACAGAAACCACCAAATTGGACAGAAACCACCAAAAGTTCTTGGGTCTTTTTATTTCCTTCCTTAATCATCATCAAATGGTGTTTGACACCATTTACCCTGCTGCTAACAAGTGTGTCCCCACCCTTTCTCAATCTCATTCTTAGGTTACCTTTGTTTTTGTTTTTTTGTTTTGTTTTGGTTAGGCAATGGGGTTAAGTGACTTGCCCAGGGTCACCCAGCTAGTAAGTGTCAAGTGTCTGAGGCTGGATTTGAACTCAGGTCCGCCTGACTCCAGGACCAGTGCTCTATCCACTGTGCCATTTAGCTGCCCCACTACCTTTATTATTTATCCCTAGCATAAGAGCTAACATCATGAGTGTGCAATTGCCAATACATTATGATTTCAGAGCCACTAAGAAAGCCTTTTTACCACAAATAACTGTCCCTTTCAATTTTGCTGCCTTTTTCTCCTTGCCTTCAAACATATATTTCCTAACTAACCCCCTTCAATCTGCCCCACTTCCTTCCCACCTCCAACTTTCCTGAAACTGTACTTGCAATATGGAGCTCTAATTGCCTTCATTCAATCTAAGTTCTCCTTGACCTCTATGGACCATTTCATACTTTGATCAACCTTTCCTCAAAGTTCTTAGAAGGACAGATAAGTAAGGCAATGTTGGAACTACCATGTTAAATTTAATTTATATTTTTAAAAATATATATTTTCATATATATTTTAAACCTAATCCATACATAACAGAGTTTCATAGCATATACATAATACACATATTCATCCCTCATTTCTTAAACATAACAAAATATTCATGTTTGTTGATGTTTGAAAAATAAAAGCAACAACATTTTAATTTAAAATTTTTTTCTCAATTACATGTAAAAAATTTTTAACATTAAAAAAATTTTGAGCTCCAAATTCTCTCCCTCCTTCCCTTCCCTCACCTCTCCTTGCAAAGGCAAGCAATTTGACAGATTATACATGGGCAGTCATGCAAAACATTTCCATATTAGCCTTGGTACAAAAGAAAATGCAGACCAAAAAAACACAAACAAACAAGAATAGTAAAGAAAGTGAAAAAAAGTATTCTTCAATGTGTTTTAGACTCCATCAGTTCTTTCTCTGGAAGTTAATATCATTTTTCTTCATAAATCCTCCAGAATTGCCTGAGATCAATGTATTGCCCAGAATACCCAAGTCACTCACAGTTGATCATTGTACAATATTACTATCGCTGTGTACAATGGTTTCCTGGTTCTGCTCACTTCACTTTGCATCAGTTCATGTAAGTCTTCCCAGGTTTTTCTGAAAGCATTCTGCTTGTCATTTCTTATAGCATAATAGTATTCCATCGCAATCATATACCACAACTTGTTCAGCCATTCCCCAACTGATGGGCATCCCCTCAATTTCCAATAAGAGCTGCTATAAAAATTTTTGTACAAATATGTCCTTTCCCTTTTTCTTTGATCTCTTTGGGATACAGACCTAGTAGTGGTTTTCTTGGGCCAAAGGGCATGAAGTTTTATAGTCCAAATTGCTCTCCAGAATAACTGGATCAGATCACAACTCCATCAACAATGCATTAGTGTCCCTATTTTTCCACATCCCTTTCAACATTTGTCATTTTCCCTTTCTATCATATTAACCAATCTGATAGGCGTGAGGTGGTGCCTCAAAGTTGTTTTAATTTGCACTTCTCTAATCAACAATGATATAGAAGATTTTTTATATGACTAGCTTTGATTTCATTTTCTAAAAACTGCTTGTTCATATCCTTTGACCATTTGTCAATTGAGGGATGACTCACATTCTTATAAATTTGATTCAGTTCTCTATATGTTTTAGAAATAAGGCCTTTATTAGAGAAACTTGCAGCAAAATTTTTTCCCAGTTTCCTGCTTTCCTTTTAATCTTGGCTGCATTGGTTTTGTTTGTGCAAAACCTTTTTAATTTTATGTAATTGAAAGTATCCATTTTATATGCTATAATACTCTCTGTTTCTTGTTTGGTCATAAATTCTTTTCTTATCCATAAATCTGGCAGGGAAAATATTCCATGCTCCCCTAATTTGTTTATGATAATCACCTTTTATGTCTAAATCATGTACTTATTTTGACCTTATCTTGGTATATGGTAAGAGATGTTGGTCTCTGTCTACTTTCTGCCAAACTGCTTTCCCATTTTCCCAGCAATCTGTCCAATAGCAATTTTTGTCAAATTTTTGTAAAAAAAATTCTTTTTGCCAAATCTTGGATCTTTGAATTTGTCAAACACTAGATCACTATGGTTATTTACTACTGTGTGTTGTGTACCTAATTTATTCCACTAATCCACCACTCTATTTCTTAGTACCATGTTGTTTTGATGATGAACACTTTGTAATACAGTTTGAGATCTGGTATTGCTAAGCCACCTTCTTTCCCATGTATTTTTTTTTTATTGATTGATATTCTTGACCTTTTGTTCTTCCAGATGAATTTTGTCATTATTTTTTCCAGCTCTATAAAATTAATTTCAGCAATTGGATTGGTATGGCACTGAATAAGTAAATTAATTTAGATCGAATTGTCATTTTCATTATATTGACTTGGCCTTCCTGTAAGAAATTAATATTTCTCCAGTTGTTTAGATCTGACTTTATTTGTATGAAAAGTGTCTTGTAATTGTGTTCATACAGTTCCTGGGTTTGTCTTAGCAAGTATTTTATACTGTCTGCAGTTATTTTAAATGGAATTTCTCTATCTCTTCCTGATGGACTTTGTTGGTAATATATAGAAATGCTGATGATTTATGTGGCCTTATTTAATATCCTGCAACTTTGCTGAAGTTGTTAACTATTTCAACTAAGTTTTTTTAGTTGATTCTCTAGGATTCTCTAAGTATACATACCATCATATCAGCTGCAAAGAGTGGTAGTTTTGTTTCCTCATTGCCTATTTTAATTCCTTCAATTTCTTTTTCTTGTCTTATTGCTATAGCTAGCATTTCTAGAATGATATTGAATAATACTGGTGATAATGGCCATGCTTGCTTCACCCCTGATCTTATTTGGAAAGGCTTCTAACTTATCCCCATTACAGATAATGTTTGCTGATGGTTTTATTCTCTTAGCCTGGCTTCTATGGCACTGCACTTTACTGGTTTCTTTCTACCTCTTTTACTTCTTTATGTCTTTTTTATCGTCTCCTCCCATATTTCTCCTACCCCCCACAAGGAGGAGTATTTCCCAAGCTACTTCTAAGCTCCTCTGTTCTCTTTACATATTCTCCTCTCCTCCTGCCTCTTCGGGGAGTTTGCCCTCTCCATATAAATATTTTTCTCTCCCTCCCCACTCTCACTTTATCCATTGTCCAGCATTACAACTAGCATGGGGTAACCAGAGCTTTTCCCCAGGGTGTGAGATTCAGAGGGCACTTATAACGCTTGTAGTCTTTCAGCAGCTTAAAAGCAGCTGTATAGGCCAGCAGTCTTTGGACTAAGGCAAGTCAAGAAGTTATTAATTGGTTTTCTTTTGTCAGAGAGAGAAAGCTCCAGCAGATGCCTGAATTCAGGAAGTTCCCCATCATGTCTACTATCTCATGCCTCTATGTCATACTTGTGATCTCAAGCTCCTGGTGGTCTGCAATATAGTCCAATGACAAAATCAATTCTGTTTCTCCCTCCTTTGACCTTCCAAATACTTCCTGCCATACCTTTTCCTTCTGGGCCCTAAATTTCCTCAAATGAGTATAGGTGGTACACCTAGAATGGAAGACTTGAGTTCAAATCCTCCTCAAACA